TATGTTTGAATCTGAAGTGAAGTGTGGCCAAGTATGGTGACCCATACTCAGAATTTGTGCTCTGCATTTAATCCATTCAAGTACACACACACACACACACCGTGAACACACACCAGGAGCAGTGGGCAGCCATATTGCTGCGGCCCCCCTGGGAGCAGTTGGGGGTTTGGTGCTTTGCTCAAGGGTCTCACCTCAGTCGCTTGTTATTCAGTCCCCCCACCTACAATCCCTGCCGGACCTGAGACTCGAACCTGCAACCTTCGGTCAAGTCAGACTCTACCCATTAGTCCACGACTGCCCCCCTTCGTAGTAGGTAGAAAACCCTTCGTCATAAGATTTTCATTTCTAAATTATAAGGTTGCTCACTAAATGGAAACAAATATTATTGGGACAGTTCCTGCTGTTTTTTTTTCCACAGGTAGCAGGGAATAAAATGCAAAGAACAAAATGTTTAAAAATGCGTTTGTTTTCTTGTAAGGTGTTTAAATATTGCTGGCCCACTTTGGAATTCAGGTAAAGTGGGCCAACTTTTAACCTTCAATAATTATACTCAAATTAATTAAATAAATTGTCATTCACAGGTTATTTTGTGTTATAGTCACATTTTAACATATTTTATAGTTCATTTTATCAATATTCTGATTTCTGTATATTCTGATATTCAGATTGAATCACATTTAATGTCAACACAGCATGTTCTTTCATTTGTTTTCACACATGAATTGAGATGAGGATTTACACATGATTGTTAAATATGTTTTATCTATCTATCAATAAAATACACTCTTAAAAATAAAGGTGCTTAAAAGGTTCTTCACAGCGAAGCCATAGAAGAACCATTTTTGGTTCCACAAAGAAACATTCAGTCAAAGGTTCTTTAAAGAACCATCTCTTTCTTACCTTTTTATAATGTGAAGAACCTTCTTTCACCGCAAAGAATCTTTTGTGAAACAGAAAGGTTCTTCAGATGTTAAAGGTTCTTTATGGAACCATTTAGACAAAAACGTTCTTCTATGGCATCGTGAAGCACCTTTATTTTTAAGTGTGACGTTTCAGGAAAGCCACACATTTGCGAGTAATTCACATTTGCACACTCTCTCTGCTGCTCTATCTCTTTAGCATTGTTTATTATTTTGTTTATTAACATATTTTCTAACAGAAATGCATTCAAATAGTACAGGAAAACACAAATGTGACCTGAACAAACGCAAAATGCAATTCACATTTCAATACAATATTCAAGCTAAGTAAGAGATTAGCTGTTCATTTTCTTATTTTTATAGTTTAGTTTTAAATGTAAATTCACAATATCAATAAAACATGTGTCCCTCATTCCTGAAAATACATTTTGCTATTTATATATAGTACAGTACAATTTTAAAGTAATGTACTGTAAAATGGGCCTTTATAGAAGAAACAGTTATTCATTTGGAGCTTTCCGAGCTCAAAAAACAAAGATGTAACTGTAAAGTTATAAATTGTTACTCCCTCACCACTGTATGTTTCCATACAAGTAATTTATTTCCCTTTACAATGCACACATTAAATCGTTTTCTGGAGTTTTCAAATGTGATTGTTTTGAGAATAGCACAAATGTGCTTTTTACCCTCCACCAATAATAATAATAATAGCCTAATAATAATACAAAATTTAAAGAAGACTAAATAAAACAGTTCAGCAGTGAAACAGCTCTACATAAATAGTATTAACAGCTATAAAATAAGACACTCGGATAACATGTTTTTCTTTCATTTGTAGAAAGGATCTGAGACTATAACATTTATCGTAAAAACATAGATTCTGTTATATAAAATCAGCTGTATATTAATGACACTTGAGCAGAATGTATTACTTCCTGAACATGATGCTGTGGTCCTCAGTGTTGTTTGGCACAGCAAAAACATCTGAAGAACTTCCTGTACTGCTGCCTGACCTGAACAAGAACGAGACGAGAGGAGCTGAGTCACTTCATGAGATCAATTTAACCTCTGAAACTCAAGAACCAGAATGGAGTTTGTTTGGAATAAACAGGTTATAAAAAGTGGCTTTTAGATACTAGATCTGCATTTTTAGAAATAAATATTCATGCTTTCCTTTACTTCCATAACCTATGCGGGATGATAAAATGTATTATTAGGACAAAATAAAGAAGAAGAGAAAAAATATTTTAAACTGTGATGCTATCTTTTGAAAACAGAGCCTAACATTTTAAAGTAGTTTTAAAAGCTTGGAGATCAAAGGCATTCTCTGTCATTTTAAATTAGAATTTTTAACAGTTGGAGTCTGAATAGTTTTAGTTAATTTGAACATTCCATCACAGGAAGGAAATGGAAGTGTAAAGGTCATTGCACACAGAGTCCGAAATTTTCGTATGCTCTTTTTTGTATTCGTTATCCTAACTTTTGTGAAACAGAAAGGTTCTTCAGATGTTAAAGGTTCTTTATGGAACCATTTAGACAAAAACGTTCTTCTATGGCATCGTGAAGCACCTTTATTTTTAAGTGTGACGTTTCAGGAAAGCCACACATTTGCGAGTAATTCACATTTGCACACTCTCTCTGCTGCTCTATCTCTTTAGCATTGTTTATTATTTTGTTTATTAACATATTTTCTAACAGAAATGCATTCAAATAGTACAGGAAAACACAAATGTGACCTGAACAAACGCAAAATGCAATTCACATTTCAATACAATATTCAAGCTAAGTAAGAGATTAGCTGTTCATTTTCTTATTTTTATAGTTTAGTTTTAAATGTAAATTCACAATATCAATAAAACATGTGTCCCTCATTCCTGAAAATACATTTTGCTATTTATATATAGTACAGTACAATTTTAAAGTAATGTACTGTAAAATGGGCCTTTATAGAAGAAACAGTTATTCATTTGGAGCTTTCCGAGCTCAAAAAACAAAGATGTAACTGTAAAGTTATAAATTGTTACTCCCTCACCACTGTATGTTTCCATACAAGTAATTTATTTCCCTTTACAATGCACACATTAAATCGTTTTCTGGAGTTTTCAAATGTGATTGTTTTGAGAATAGCACAAATGTGCTTTTTACCCTCCACCAATAATAATAATAATAGCCTAATAATAATACAAAATTTAAAGAAGACTAAATAAAACAGTTCAGCAGTGAAACAGCTCTACATAAATAGTATTAACAGCTATAAAATAAGACACTCGGATAACATGTTTTTCTTTCATTTGTAGAAAGGATCTGAGACTATAACATTTATCGTAAAAACATAGATTCTGTTATATAAAATCAGCTGTATATTAATGACACTTGAGCAGAATGTATTACTTCCTGAACATGATGCTGTGGTCCTCAGTGTTGTTTGGCACAGCAAAAACATCTGAAGAACTTCCTGTACTGCTGCCTGACCTGAACAAGAACGAGACGAGAGGAGCTGAGTGACTTCATGAGATCAATTTAACCTCTGAAACTCAAGAACCAGAATGGAGTTTGTTTGGAATAAACAGGTTATAAAAAGTGGCTTTTAGATACTAGATCTGCATTTTTAGAAATAAATATTCATGCTTTCCTTTACTTCCATAACCTATGCGGGATGATAAAATGTATTATTAGGACAAAATAAAGAAGAAGAGAAAAAATATTTTAAACTGTGATGCTATCTTTTGAAAACAGAGCCTAACATTTTAAAGTAGTTTTAAAAGCTTGGAGATCAAAGGCATTCTCTGTCATTTTAAATTAGAATTTTTAACAGTTGGAGTCTGAATAGTTTTAGTTAATTTGAACATTCCATCACAGGAAGGAAATGGAAGTGTAAAGGTCATTGCACACAGAGTCCGAAATTTTCGTATGCTCTTTTTTGTATTCGTTATCCTAAAAATTGGTCACGCACAGAAACCTTGCACACGGAGTCCGATGCCTATTAATTAATCCGTTGCGGAAAAATTCGCAAAACAGTACTAAATGGAGTCTTCAAGCAGTGAGGATGATTTTGTTGTCCTCTCGCTTCTTAAAAAGAGAAAAAGAAAGGAAATATTGGGTCCATCCAATCCTGAGCTATAGAGAGGAAGGTATTAAGGAGCAGCGGGATTATCACGGGTGATTCAAAGTTTACTTCAGGATGTCAGTGGCTCAGTTTGATGCTTTGCCAGCCATACTAGAGCCAGATATTAAAAAGAAGACCACCAATTTCTGTGAACTCAGTGTGCAAGGATCTTTACAGTGCTTTGTGCTGCGAGATGAAGTGGATCAACTTGACAGTCGCCATTCTGGATTTTGTTGTTCGCTTGTACGGTGGCTCTGAATTGTCAAAACACCTCTCAAAATGCATCTGCGTGCTTGGAGCAGTCAAATGGGGAATCTACCTATACATATGGCTACAACAATGAGCATGATGTTATTATTTACACGGTCGTCAAGGTTACGCCGAGCGAATGTGAGCAGCCACGCCATCGTTTTCCAAAGTCTCTGTTTTGGTCCGTTTACACTTAGTCACAGAACACCAAAAAAAGAACAGGACCTCAGTGAAAACATCCAGATTACACATGTAAACTGAGTGATGTCTGACCTCATTATTGAGGACACAGTAGATCAGGAAGATGAAGGTTCCCTGCTGGGAGTTCAAGATCAGGAAGAGGATCTCCAGCACCTTACTGCCATTAGTGAAGAAACCCAGAATCCAGGAGCAACCAAGAACCACAAACTGGCCCAGTGTTTTAAACACCATAATCCTGCAGAGAAACAGACAAAGAATGAGTGTTAAAGTGTCTATATTGACTATGTGATTTTCTATAGAGTGATTAAATAATAATGTTACTTGGTTTGCTTCATCTGTGAAACTTCAGCATTGAGATTTTTGAGAGTTGTGTTCAGAGTGATGACAATCTTGATGAAGAGAACCGTGTTTGACTGCAAAGTAGAAGAGTAATTAATCACCTTGTTTTCCGTTTAATATAAATAAAAGTCATGAGAAATAAGAAATGTATTTACTGCTAGTATGACACAAACAGGACCCAGAAAACTCCAGATGAAGCCTTTATCTATTTTAATCCAGCAGCTGTTTAGAGAAAAATCAATATAAAAACTGAATGAATTTGTCAGAAATACTATTTCAGGTATCGACCGGTTATATATTATAGATTTTAATCTTGTGCATGACACTGATACAGCCTGTGTGTATATTTTATCAGACAGCAGAAGTATCACAAAAGTCCAGAGCTGCTTTATTTCCTTCTAATCAAATTAACTTCAAAACAACAACAACTCACCGTTCGCTGCCATAGCCTTCAGGAACCAGACCGACAGACACACACACCACAACCAGAGCAACCACATATCCAATCACACACAGGAAGATCTGTGATAGGTTCTTCACACAGATGAAGAGCAGCACTGCTTCAATGAACATCCACACAAAGCCGGAGAGAAAGAGGAAGTGCAGAAGGCCAGAGATCACGGCACACAACACCTGGAGACCATGAGAGACGGTTATGATGATTTTCAGTGAGGCTGTGCTGAGCTGTAGGGCTACTTCATCATTCTCACCTGCTGACGCCGTATGAAGCTCAGGAACTGCTGCGTGAGCAGGAACAGAAGGTGAGCCAGCAGAAGACTGATGCAGATGTTGATTCGAGCTACATTATTCACTCCAGGACTCCACTGACAAAGGGCAAAGGTCAACAGGGCCAAACTGAAGAACACCAGCCCCACAATCACACACACCACATTCAACAGCTCCATCAGTGGGTCGCTCTGAGAAAACATGTCAGAGTTCATGAGTGCCAAATCTGTGCTGTTCTGCAGTGTTCACTGGAAATGTTCTGTACCTCTGGTGGGTGGCTGGTTTGCATGATGAGAGCGAATGTGGACAGATGATCACAGGAACACACAGTGTAGCTGCTGTTGGTCTTTAAAACAGAACAACCATCTACAATCCACTCGCTGATATTCCAGTACACACAGGACAGAGAACCACTGGGATCAAACTCCTGAAAAAGATGAAGAAAATATCAGAACACTGAATATTAGATGTTTCCAGATGTTCATCAGTTCTCAGGTTGGACAAACACATGTCAGTGTCTCACTCTGATGTGTTTTAGGGTGAAGTTGACTGGTTTGGTGAGTTTAGTGTTGGTGGTTTTGGGAAGAGTAGCTGAGATCACAGTGGACATCATGGTTTTAATCGTGTTGTTTGATGTGTTGAAGAAGTCTGGCTTCAGTAGATTCTCCATCATGTTGTAGCTCATGAAAGCCACTGCAGCTGATCCTGTGTGACAGAAACAGAAAAAGAAACTTACATTAAATAATATATGCTACAATAACAACAACAACAACAACCAAAAAGTAAGTAAATGTGGTTTAGTGGTAATGGTATAATATATCTTCCCACATTTTTTAAATAAAACTAAAACATTTGACATACTTTCAATGTTGTTCTTGGATATCCCAATGAGATCAATGTCCACAGAAGAATTTGTCGTGTCAAGTCGAAGGATTTTATTTAAGGTGACCTGTGGTCCAACCATGAAGACTTGACCCTCTGATTAAACACAAACAAGCAGTTGCGTGCTATTTAATTGTATGTACTATATATATATATATATATATATATATATATATTTATATACTGTATATATATAAATGAAAGTTCACTTAAATAATTTACTTTGCACAAAGGTGCATGTCTGATTTAGTTTTAACCTTTCTAGTCTATTTTAATCTACTATTTGAATAAATGTAAATGTAAAAAAATTGTCTTTTCTTATTTTCTGTCTTTCCTGTGTGACCTAGTTTCTGTCTCCCCTTTGATTTCGTCATTTGCTTCGCCTGTGTCTCATTAATTATCCTCATTTGCCCTCCTATTTAAGTTGTAGTCAGTTCTTGGTCCTGTATTGATGTTATAACGTTGTCTCTATGTGTGTCTCCTGCCTACCTTCTGTGGATTTACCCTCTGTGTCGATTTATTAATAGACTATTCACCTCCAGCAGTCGTTCTTACCGCAGTGTGACATAATACCGGACCGTTTAAATAATGGAATGGGCAACCCCATTCATTTCCGTGGCTAGGGAAAGCCACAATTCTTTTGTTTTCTTTACGTTTTTCACGTCTCGCCACCATTAGCCCCTTCGACAACGAGACTCTGAAATCACTATCACCCCGTGGACCTCCCAGACACGACGGGACTGAGCTGGAGGAAGGCAATGTTCCGGTCCGTGGAGAGCCTCTGGCCCCGATCCAGTACAGCGCAAGACCCAGAGCCCAGCCAAACATCACCGCGCTGTGCGGAGCTGCTCGAGCCCACCGCAGACGGAGAGCCAGAGCCAGAGCCTGCCGTGGTCAAGGAGCCATCACCCATCGGAGTGACATAGCTGAAGATTGCCAAATGTCTGACCAGGTGCATGTGCCGGCAGCGCAAGCGACGATGGATACTGCAGTGGAGATCATGGGGACGAAGAAAAGCCCTGTCCACTACACCATCACTGGGGGTGAGCTGAGGTTGGAATTATGGATTTTGAGTAGGGCTGGACGATATGGCCAAAATTGATATCACAATATATTTCTTAATTGCGGTCGATACGATATAATTCCGATATCGATATGAACACTATTTATCTGAAATAGAAATATTTTGTAACATTATAAATGCCTTTATCATCACTTTTGATCAATTTTAAGCATCCTTGCTAAATAAAAGTATTAATTTCTATAATTTCTTCCCCCAAAAAAAAATTAATAAAATTATACTGAATGGAATAGTGTATAATGTTACAAAAGCTTTTTATTTCAGATAAATGCTGATCTTTGGATCTTTCTATTCATCAAAGAATCCAGAAAAAAAAATGTACTCCACTGTTTTAAATATTGATAATCAGCAAATCAGCATATTAGAATGATTTCTGAAGGATCATGTGACACTGAAGACTGGAGTAATGATGCTGAAAATTCAGCTTTGATCACAGTCGCTGCAGAAAACAAAAAAAATTGAACAACAAAAACTGGAAATGTTTCTGGAGACGGGCTTATTTAAAATGAAAACTCATTCTCTGCCAGCAGGAGGCGCTTTTAGAGTGATAAAACTAGCGGTTTCTCCAGTAATGGCTGTAATCAAAGCAGCTCCGCTCATGAATGCTACTTTATCAGGTCAAATGAAAATGCCATCGAAACTTTTCTGAAGACAGTCAATTCCCTTCAGAGATACATTCATATAAAACACCCGCGCCGTGTTATGATTTTGAAACGTGCAGTGCTCATGTTTATTCAACGAGGTCAAAAGGCACAGATAAATCAATGTATGGGAAACTGGTAATGTATATCGAAATATCGGAAATGTGTTTAAAAATCATATCACCGTTATTGAGAAAAATTATATCGCGATACATATTGATATTGAATTATTGTCCAGCCCTAATTTTGAGAGTGATATTCCCTGTCTTCTGGCTACCTCTAAACCTCCTGTCTGCCCAGAACTGTCTGTCGTTGCCCTGTCAGTGGCGCTCTCGATGCTGGGAGTGGCCTAATGGTGTGTGTGGGCAGCACACACCGTTTCAAAGCCTCCTGATCATCCTGAGATCTCGCCCAGCCTTCCTCTCCCACCACCTCTGTACCAGTTCTCACCATTACCTCCGCTGTCTCTTGTCAGCCCCTCAGCTCACCCTCAGCCCACCATCGGTGATGTGGGTTCGCTGCGGGTCTGCCAGTCTCCATCGGCATAGTGGATGGAGGACCCCTTTTCTCCACCTCCAGCCTCTGAGTCCCAGACTCCGCCTCGACCCGTCGACCCAGTGGCTCCTCTATGGCTCCTAGCTCCCTCCTCTCCGTCGTGGCCCATGAGCCCACTAGCTCCACCGGGCTCCCTTGTTCCTCTGGCTCTGCCCTGATCGGTTGTTGACCTGCCCTCGGCTCGGGACTACACTCCTCCGGCTGCACCTCGTTCCCCTGTCCCTCTGGCTCCGTTGGGCTCCTCCCTCCCTCCGGCTCCACCTTGGTCCTCCTGTCTCTCCGGCTCCACCGTGGCCTTCTGGATCCCCGCCTGCGCCTCGGTCGCCTGAGCCATCTGCTCTGCCTTGGCCCTCTGGATCCTCTGCGTCACCCTGGCTCATCGGCTCCCCATCTCTGCCTTGGGCTCCTCTCCCACCTGCTCCGCCGCTGTCAGTTGGCCCCCTGGAGTCATCAGCCCTTCCTTCGCCATGGCTCCTCCCTCCATCAGTTCCACCGTTTAACGTCAAGTTGGCTGCAGTCTGGGTCCCTCCTGGCTCCTCCTGCTCTAGCTTCCTCCTGTCTTCTCCCTGGCTCCGCCTGTCTCAGTCCTGGCTCCTCCCTCCGTCTGATCCGCCCTGGTCCTTCCTGATTTGTCCCTGGCTCCTCCCTCCGTCTGAACCGCTCTGGTCCCTTCTGGATCCTCCCTGGCTCCTCACTCCGTCGTTGCTGCCCTGGTTATCTGCCTGCCTTCCTGCCTGCCCTTCACCACTGCCTTGTCCCCAGCCCTACCCACTCCCACCCTCCTTTGTCTGTCCTGCCTGGGCACGAGGTCGCGCCTTGGGGGAGGGGGGAGTACTGTCACAGACTGTGTCATTATTATTTTCTTAGTCTTCCCTGTGTGACCTAGTTTCTGTCTCCCCTTTGATTTCGTCATTTGATTCATCTGTGTCTCATTAATTATCCTCATTTGTCCTCCTATTTAAGTTGTAGTCAGTTCACTGTTTCTTGGTCCGGTATTGATGTTGTAACATTTTCTCTATGCGTGTCTCCCGCCTACCTTCTGTGGATTTACCCTCTGTGTGGATTTAATAAAAGATTATTTGCTTTCATTTATCTTCTTCGTGCGCCTTTTTCACACCTGAGTGTGACACTTATATGTTTTGATTTTAAGGACATTTGGGTTTGGAAGCAAAACAAGATAAGAACTGGAGCACTTCAGTATACAGTGTACTGTAAGAACTGACCTTTGACCTGCAGATGACCTAACAGTTATACTGTGCTGGATCTCATGCTGTAGTGTTTTAGAGCTACTATAATTCAATAACACATCACCCGTATAATCAGAGATAAGAGTCTGAACAAGATCAATGAATCAGATGATTGTCTTCAGCATCAGCATCACCTGATCATGTTTGCTTGTGACTTTTCGTTCCATAACAACTATGCTTCATATATTCAGTTACAGCAGCCAAAGAAAAAAGTAATGTTAAAAAGTTGAGTCAAGAGTCTAACTAAAGGTGACACTAATCACTATTATAGTAACTTCAAATGAATGTTATTTTCAACAAAACATCAACATCAAAACCTCTGAAATAAATTTTGTAGACGCCTGACAGACATAAAGTCGCACTGAGGTGCATTTCCCAAAACCATCGCTAGCCAACTATGGTCACAAGTTTCGTCGTTACCAACATAGTTCACATAGCTGTGTGATTTTCGTCCAATTCTGAGCCGAATTCTGACTTGTGTGACTCTTTTTTGAGTCAGGACAAATTTCAGCTTTGTCGTGCGTCTTTTGAAGTGCAGTGTACAGGGGGTGACGAGAGGTGATAAGCCTCTCCTGAGCGGAAATCGGACAGTCGGATGAATTTCTGACATGTCAGAAATTTTGGACACCCCTCATGAGGGTATCGCACAGTTGAAGCGGAACTATGAACCGAGTAAACTCAGTGTTTTTTCCCTTCACTGCGTCTGCATGAAAACAGAAATGAAACCATGGCGACATGGCATGTGATTTGGATTGAAGCGATGGAAGCTACACAGTTCCGGGTTCAGAAGATCCCACGTGTTTATTTCGCCTGTATAGTGTGAGCAGTCAAGACACAGCTTGATGATCGGATCGTATAGTGTGAGCAAATAAATCCTGTGGTTTGGCTTGACATCGCAAGTGTTCATCACTAATGCTCAATCATCACTTAATTAATCACTTAATTACCTCATTAACTTCAATATTGCTTCAGTGTTACTTTTAACACACTGCTGGTTGTTCCCATATAAAAACAGAGCAGTGTTAATTTAACACCAGAGATTTTGCAGTGTGTCTTGTGACTGTTCACTTACAGTCTTCTCACTGTAAGTGAATCTGTGTTGAATTTTGTATTTTCTTTTTTTTCATGGTTTGTCATGAAACTACCTGCCCACGTCGCCATCTAATTTGATAAGCTTCTACCAAATGAAAGATGAATTTGCATCAAAATGTTGACCTTTGACATCCGTAACAAAAAATGCCGGCAGTGTTTCCTGCTCTTTTATAAGTTTATAAGACAATTAATTAGTTACTGTAGCTGCATGTGTTGCTGTCTGTCCCACCGCTGCTCTCTAGACTAAATAAAGTCACTGACCTCATATATAATCTGAGTTTCATTATCAATAATAATTGTGTTTCCACTTACCTACAACAGCAAGAGTAAAACTGACACTGTCACTTGTGTCTGTCGGCTTTACTAATGCAGAAATTAGTTTCTCACTAGTTTTTAACACACGGTTTCCATAGGAGGCTAGTTCAGCTGGGCTTGCTGATGATGATGACTCTACAATCTTCTCTGAAGCGTTGAAGGCCATAGTCAAAATGTTTGTCACAGTCTAATTTATTGATGAGAAAAAATGCAGTTCAATACAGTTACTGTCAGAGGTGGGGCTTTCAAGTCACAAGCAAGTCTTCAAGTCATATCCCAAGTCCTCAAAGAGTTAAAGTTAATGAGATAATTAAGTGACTAATTAAATGATGATTGAGCATTAGTGATGAACACCTGCTGTTAACAATCAACATCACTGAAGAAAAGAGAAACACAAGAACTACATCTGACTTTAGCCACAGCCTTAGATGAAATCAACTGAAAAAAACCAACAACAAAAAAACACACATACACGCAATGTCACCATAATTGTGGTCAAGGTTTGCTTTAGTTGGCCTCTTGACACTTTTATTAATTCCAAAATTATTTGTTTTTAAGCGATTGCAATGTTGTTTCAGAGCAAACATTCATGCACTGCTGAATCAAAACCACGAAGTAGCAGATGAGCTTACACTTTCTGCATATGACTCATGATGAATTAACTTACATAAATGAAGTTTATTGACTGATCATCAACTACTAAACTGAAAAAAAATAAATCCCACTAAACAAATGCCTCCGTAATGCTTTGATATTGAAAAAGAGAAAAATGTATTAGCTCAGGCTTTTAGACATGAACACTTATCATATGATCCTCGTTGCAGTTTCTCAGGACTGACATTACAAAACCTAAACTTATAATAAAAAAAAAAGTTATTTTGATTCTAGTCAGACCAGCTCATCAAGTAAAAACAACTAATAGCTGCATAGTGATATCTGTTTTTTACAACACTTCATACACTACTACAAAGAGAGATCTAACACAAGAAGTCAAGGGTCAAGAGCACAACTAAAGCAAACACTGATCTCCATGATGGTGACATCATTTTAACCAATAAAACATCAACATCTGATCCTCTGTAATTCTCAATAACAGCAGGTGTTCATCACTAATGCACAATCATCATTTAATTAGTCACTTAATTATCTCATTAACTTTAACTCTTTGAGGACTTGGGATATGACTTGAAGACTTGCTTGTGACTTGAAAGTCCCACCTCTGGTTACTGTACATGTAAATGTCAAGAAAGCCAGACAGCACTGCTGTCTGTCATATATCATCTAAATTAGATTTGATTATTTTATAATTTTTCTCCTGAAGACTTACATTTAAAGGAAGCACTTGAGCTGTGATGTTCTCGATCTGCTCAAGAAGATTTTGAAGACATCCTCCAGGGGTCTGACTCTGAAATCACAATTGAGTTTTATACAGTAAATAAAACTAACTCTGTGATTTTAATCATGTTTTGCGATATTAATAGCAAACAAAGGTAAGTTTGTGCATGTAACCATCAACAATAAATAGAAAATCACATTCATATTTCAAATATCTGCCAATGCACATCTTATGCTCTCTGTACTATTATTGAAAGAAGCTGTGAGTCCAAATCTAAAACTTCAATTTCAGAAACTCAACTTACATTGCATTCTTCCGGCAGCGTTATATTTATAACTGCAATGACAGAAATCAGCATGAAGACAATATAAAAACAAAACAGCAAATGATGTAGATGTCATTTGTGCAAAATTTTTAAAGCATAGATTAAAAGTAAATGATGAATGTGACCATGAGTACAGAAGCCCTAAGATTTTTTATTTTTTTTTATTTTTTGTATCTCTCCGATTTTTATCTAAAAAATGTTTTGTCCTCTCCCAATATTTTTTCTCTCTCCTAAAAAAATGACTTATTATTTATTATTATTATTATTAGCTCCAATTTACACTCCCGTTTATACTACAGTTCCTCCCACTGAAAGCTGCACGGATTATCATACAGACATAAATACGATGCATTTCTAGGACTTAAAAGGTCTCTGTGGCAAAAGCAAAAGTACCTTGTTTTGGCCGGTGCAATAAGAAGCATATTATTATTGTAAATGTTTTTTTTACTTTGATAGGCTGTACAACAATGGAATTCAAAGTGTCTCCATTTTTTTTTTCTGCAGAAAGCCGTTCTCAAGTTATGTGCATTCCCAGTCAACACGTGAGATCATGCTATGGTCACAGTGACATCACATCATTCTCATAGTGTGATACTCACAGTGAGAGTAATATGTGAGCTCATTGTGAATTCAAAATGTTGAGCAGGTTGAGAGGAGGCAGTTCAAATATCAGTCACCGAGGAGGCTTTCTATATCCTGTTTCTCAACACTATCACAGTGATATCACATGCTGAGCTCATGAGTGCACACTCAGCTAACAGCTTATTGTTATAAGAACCTTCTCCAAACATACAACTGACTTCCAGACACAGCCTTCGATGAAATCAACTGAAATACAAAAGACATCCAATCTTTGGTGATCTCAGCAGAGAATGATTAAACAACTCCACAAACAGCATCACCAGCTTCACTCATTATTAACCAGACTGACTTTATTTCTGTCAGACATCTACAAAAGCGCTTATTGAGAATTAACAGAGATTTAGATGATGATGTTTTATTGTTTCATTTGACGTTAATCACCATCAAGGTGATTATTGTTTGCTTTAGTTGGGCTCTTGACCCTTGACTTCATAATATGGTATTTTTTGGGCTGCTGTAACTGAGTTTGTAAAGCACATTTGTTATGGCAAGGAATGCCAAAAAACTACAACCAGGTGATATCGGTTTATTATTGATCTCACATTAATATGAGCACACATTGAGGGCACTGTGAGGTTACACTTTTAGCTCATTGTGATCTCATCATGAGTATCCTAGGAGCTCATGGTGACATAACTGTGAGATCAAAGTTTAGACTGGGTTACATGGTAGAGATACTGAGGAAAACAAAGGGAAACATGCGGAAGATTTCACATCGTGTATACGCTCCGCATGTTATAATCACAGACTGTAAAAAGATGGACGTAGTGTCTCCACTTCCTTCCACTATAAAAAAAAGCGAAGCCAAAACATCCCAGGATTGCTGTGTTTCAGACAACTCGAAATTCAGATTTTTCCTGTATATATAAATAATGTTTAATTATGTTTAAAGTCAGAAATTCGACCTGTGAGCTCGTGGCAGGTCGATCAACCCCGTCTTCAGCGAGACGCATCATTTGACGTCACTGCTTCCAGCGAGCATAGTTTGGCACCTTATATCAAACTTAAAAACATTAAACATTGTTTATAAAATGATACATTAATTTTTGCTTTTCGACAGATGTTTTCAAAATGAATGGCAGCACTTTAACATACATCAGCCTGATAAGAACTACCTAAAATGATGGAACCCATCTTTGGAAAAAATTTATTTGAAGTGTAATTTGATTATGTAGTTTGGCTCACGTCCCATTCATTTACACGGAGAAGGCGGGTTTATGACCTATACTGCAGCCAGCCACCAGATGGCGATCGAAATTTAGGCTTCAATTTTCATAATGTGATTTCACTACATTTCCAGGGAAACGTCTCTTTTTTATTTTACTTTATCTTTATTATCAAACTCAGCTTTGTGGGGAAGTCGTGGCCTAATGGTTAGAGAGTCGGACTCGTAACCCAAAGGTTGTGGGTTCGAGTCTCGTACCGGCAGGGATTGTAGGTGGGGGGAGTGAATGTACAGCGCTCTCTCCCACCTTCAATACCACGACTGAGGTGCCCTTGAGCAAGGCACCGAACCCCCAACTGCTCCCCGGGTGCCGCAGCATAAATGGCTGCCCACTGCTCCGGGTGTGTGTTCACGGTGTGTGTATGTTCACTGCTGTGTGTGTGCGCTCTAAGGATGGGTTAAATGCAGAGCACCATACTTGGCCACATGTCACGTCACGTTTTCACAGTGAAAGCCCTGCACAATTAATTCCATATCGCAACTTATTGTTTCTTTGTTGTAGGTGTCTATGGACCTAATCAAGCTACTATTACTGCCAACCATGGGCGACATAACTCTTATTTATAAACTAACTAACTAACTAACTAAATACTTAAAAACATAAATAAATAAAATAAAATAAAATTCTTTATGGAGTCAATACAGCACAGTCAAGAATAACTTGAGGTTGCCAACATTTGCTAAACTGTGGACTAGCTTTGACCCTTGCAGCTGATTTGAAAGGTGATGCCATTTTAAGTGTCTGTTGATGGTCTTTCATTTTTAACCAGAAATGTGCACGCTGCTTTTCTGATGTTCACCGAAGTTTTCCGTGTCTTTTTCCTGTGTCGCTTGAAATGTGTCCCTTTTGAATCGTTGTTACCAAAGGCGAGACACGTGACAAAAAAAAACAAAAAAGATCAGTTCACTGTCATAAATCACATACCATTCATTCCTGAACTTTCTACCGTCCGTTACTGGAAATTATAGTTTATCCCTTCAAGGGAACTCAACACTGCATCCCCTAGGGAACACTTTGGGGAATGTCTTCAGCACACCCGGTTTCTGAAGTACGTGTGAAAACACTCCAAATCATTAGCCCGCACAGCCCGTGTCGCCATTAACGGAAGCGCCCGGAAGTATAAGAGTGCACCTGTAACGCATGTTATCAACTTACTTTGTTTTCAGGAGCCGTTTGTGTGCATTTGACTCACGAGACAGCGGCATGCACTCATGGTCAAAGCCGTCGCTAGTGGGGTGAAAGGTGGTGACGATTATCCTCTCTTCTCCATTATTATAATTAGAAATTTTAGATTAATAACTCCTCACAAAGACTGCATACTGAATCTAGATGAAGATTGTCTTGTTATCATCATTAACAAACCGTCTCTTTTTGGTATTCTTTGCCATAACAAATGTACTTCACAAACACAGTTACAACAGGCCAAAAAAATATGATGTTACAAAGTCAAGGGTCAGGAGCCCAACTAAAGCAAACACGAATCACCTTGATGGTGATTAACGTCAAATGAAACAATAAAACATCATCATCTAAATCTCTGTTAATTATCAATAAGCGCTTTTGTAGATGTCTGACAGAAATAAAGTCAGTCTGGTTAATAATGAGTGAAGCTGGTGATGCTGTTTGTGGAGTTGTTTAATCATTCTCTGCTGAGATCACCAAAGATTTAATGTCTTTTGTATTTCAGTTGATTTCATCGAAGGCTGTGTCTGGAAGTCAGTTGTATGTTTGGAGAAGGTTCTTATAACAATAAGCTGTTAGCTGAGTGTGCACTCATGAGCTCAGCATGTGAGAGCACTGTGATATCACTGTGATAGTGTTGAGAAACAGGATATAGAAAGCCTCCTCGGTGACTGATATTTGAACGGTCTCCTCTCAACCTGCTCAACATTTTGAATTCACAATGAGCTCACATATTACTCAGACTGTGAGTATCACACTATGAGAATGGTGTGATGTCACTGTGACCATAGCATGATCTCACGTGTTGACTGGGAGTGTTTGCATGAGCGCGTTCGCCTCTTGAGGGAGTCGAACAGGCTCAATGCGATGCGGTCGCGACAGTTTCTGTTCTCGCCTGATTCTTGAGGGAATCTAGTGTTTGAATAGAGCGAGTTTGGCTCTCGGGGGAGCTAAATGCACGCTGCGTGATGCGATCATGCTGAGAAATGCCTCGTATGCTTGATTCTCTTTTGAGGAATAAGAATTGAGTGCCTACCACCCGTGGTTCGGATCCCGCAACTGCCAAGGCAGCTAGGCAGACCGATAACCGGGATTGTAGGCAGGGCATGGAAGGAATCTGAGTGCTTTCCCTTTCAGGAGTTCCTTTCATTCTTTTCTTTCCCGAGGGACAGTAGTCAGCTTTTGCACGAGCATGCCCGGCTCTCAGCGCGATCAGGTCAATGATTTGGAGTGTTTTTACACGTGCTTCAGACAGTGGTCCAGGCGTTGCCTCTTGTGGAGAAAAATAAAAAGTGTTTGGAGAGAGAAAAATCTAGAACTTAGGCTTGGGAAGGATCTGATGTTTTTTGTTCCTCCATATTGTGGTTCAGGGCTTCCATACATAAGTGTGGATGAGCAAAAACTAGTTTGTAGAAATTTAAGAAAGAACGAAAGAAAGAAAGAAAGAAATTAGTCTGTTCAGAATCTGTGAACAATCATACCATCATACTCATGCATTGCCCTCAAAAATGAAAATGTCTGCAATGACCTACACCTGCACATTTTTACACACTATTTTATACCTTGACTTACAACCACACTTATTCAATTCTACAGATCCACAAACATTCAGTCAAAACACAATCAACAGAGGAAATATCAGACTACATTACCAGCTGGGCTCGTCTCTGGTCTGACTGTTGTATGAGTGCCGCTGATGTTAGTAGCAGCTGAAAAATATAATGACTGATGAATATCAATGAACTAAGACACAAATAATACAAATGACACACAAAAATATCTATTTAATAATGTTGGGTTAAAAATAACCCAACAAGTAACCCAACTATGGATTAGTGTAGCACCTTCCCAACTGTAGATTATTTTAACCCAGCAGGTTGGGTTAAATGTTTGACCCAACATGCTGGGTTGTTTAATTAACTCAAATATTGATTGAAAATTACTATTTCTGCCTTAAAATG